GTGTGTTGCATTAACAGAGAGTTGTGCAACAGTCAGTCAGAAAACAGCATGTTCTGCCTTTTCTGTAATGTTACTGCTACTACAACTGCTATTTGTACTGCTTTCAAAGTACTTAGGGCTGGGTATTTTAAAGCTCAGTACTTCTTAGTAAGCATGAAAAAGTGTAAGATTCACTAAAGTTCTGAAAGATGTCTTTTACATTACATTACATTATTACATTACATTGCATTTAGCTGACGCTTTTATCCAAAGCGACTTACAATAAGTACATTCGACCAGGAAGACACAACCTTGAAGAAAACAGAATCATATAAGTACATCAGGTTTCATAGAGCCAAACATTTCAAGTGCTACTCAACTGGCTTTAGGTAAGCCAGTCCTTTATTAGTATAAAAGTGCTTCGTTAATAGTTCTATCACAGTCTTCAAATATTTAGTCGGATTTGTCATGTTGACATTTTCTCTGGTTGGGATTCAGATTAGGGCTGTCCTCAGTCGACAGCCACTTTTAAATGTTTTGTCTTGATTAGGCAATTTATTTGACAGATCTTTAAATATATCAAGCAAAAATAACCTCATTATCTCTTGTGTTTACCAGAAATATGCTCATGTGATTCTTGGTAATAAGTCATTCCGCATGTTTTCATATTTGGTTAAAGTTATTTGAGAACTTTCCACACGCCAACCAGAGTTGAGCAGTAAAAAACTCAAATTTGATCACAGTTTATGTTTTTTATGTTGCCATGGAGATGGTCAGTCAAATCTGATTAAACCCCACCCACACAATCCTGATACAGCAGATTATTGTTAAACTCCAATTCATTTGTCATACTCACTTGCTGTACATTTGACTATTGCCTTCATTCCAGATATCATCGAACCAAAAATAAAAGTTCCATTTCCTAAAAATGTATTAATATACTAAACAGTTCTGTATTTTGAAGAGTCTTTAGGTCAGTGCACACCACACCAATATTCAAGGACCAATTCATATTTATTTTGTTGTTTGGTTCAATCTGTTCACCTAAATAAATGTTTTCATTATAATGACTTCCAAATGACATACTGCTTTGGAGAAAACATACTAAGATATACATACTTTTAAGGCGTTATTTAATTTCAAGAAGTGGTAACAAGGTGTCCTAACAAGAGACCAAAAAAGTATGCATCAAATGAGAATTAAATAGAGACAACCTAATTCCCCCCTATCCCCCCTGGCTGTCTAATCCCTTTAGAAATATAAATGAGCAATCGCCAAAAGACACTTATAATAAAGCAAAACCTCATGTGTTTCTGTCATTTTTCAGTCCGCGGGACAAGACAGACAGCAGTGGAGAGTATGTGAAGGTAAGCTAATCTATTTTCATCTAACAATCTTAACTTGTTTATATGTGGCTTCCTGTTACAGTGATGCTTATTATCATTTCCTCTCCTCTGACTTGACACTTTCTGTTCCCAGTGGTAGCACGATTCTCTGTTAATGTTAAAGAGGCCCTATTCTGCTTTTTGGGTTTCCTCGATTCTCTCTCCCACACACTCCCCCCCCCCCCCCCCCCCCCCCCCCCATGCTAATGGGCGGGACATCTCTAAGCGGTTGTACAATCACAACAGAGGCGGCCAGCTAACCAATCAGATCCAACTGAGGCACAAAATACAAATATGAACCTGAAAATTAGCAAAATAGGGCCCCTTTAAATTAAAATTACTGTGATCCTCTGCTTTAGGCACTCTAATTAAATTAGGATGGGTGACAGAAAAGGCTCGGGGAATGTGGTCCTTTGCGGATAAAAAGCTTTGAAGCGTCTGCGGTTGCCCCTGGTAACCTCAACGGCCTCGATTCGCCCGGCAGCTCTGCCTGGAAAAAGGTGGAAAGAAACACACAGAGAGAGAATTTCCAGCTCATTGACTTATAATTGGATACTTGAGAAACACACTTGTCTAAAAGGGACAAGCTGGCAATGAATGATATAGCTAATGAAATTAAAGCAATTCATTAGTGGCTTCCAGGTCTTCCCCCCCTCCAAAACACACTCACAAACAAACACACACAAACCGTATATGCACACATTCTTCTATGTTGTTTTGAAGTGGACCTGGCCCGGTGCCCAGCCCTTAATTCACACTCTAGTGGGACAAACCATTCTGGCAAAAACAAGGGAGGGGTGGGAGGCGTCGAAGAGAAGAAAAACATGCCACCTATAAAACGGTGTATTGACAGTAAGTGGTGTGTGTGTGTGTGTGTGTATCTTCTTAAACAAAAGCATTCCCGGCCTGCTGCTGGCGTAACCTCTTGATATACAGTATCTTCATTTTTTGTTCCTATTTGTATAAAGACGCGTCTGACAAAGCGCCACTGAGTGATGACCCCCATCGCACAATGACGTTGCCACAGCGACCGGGCCAAGACTCCAGCACGGGTCTGGGTCTTGGGCCCCTGGTGTCGCCAGTGTTGATGCCAGTGTGGGAATGCCAGAGCTGTCCTTCCTCCTACCTCACTCCCCTCTGTGCTCCCTGTTAACACACACACAAACTCACACAACAACAGAGCTGATAAAGGCTGCGGTTTGACTAGATTTACCCACAATTCTTGTTCTCGCAAAGGATGAACATTTCAAGAAGCCGCAGAAATGCAACAGTAGAGATCGCCTCTGTTGGGATTTGTGAACCCAAATTGGGAAGATGCCACATGAAGGCTCTAGTGTCTGCTCTTTGATTTGTTGGGTTTTTGTGTCTGATTGTGCCCCTGTGATGCCCTTCAAGTTCTCCAAAGACCAGTTCTGGCTGGAGCCTCCGTCGGAGAAGCTGAGGAAGCAGCTAGAGGAGGAGCTGAAACTGAGCGGCAGCAACCTGAAGAGCCATGCCTGGTACCATGGACCAATCCCCTGGGAGGTAGGCCTCTCACACACACACACACACACACACACACACACACACACACACACACACACACACACACACACACACACACACACACACACACACACACACACACACACACACACACACACACACACACACACACACACACACACACACACAGATGTATGACAGATGAGCTTAAGATGGTGTTTCCTAAGAGGTTTGGATGCTGGGAGATTTGATTTTGTGGTTTCACCCCATCTACAGAGCTTCGTAAGTTGTGTTATGAAATAGTGTTTCCTTAATACTGTTCTTTAGTGATAAAGTAATATTCTATTGATGTTATGCATTTTTTAAATCAAGGTAGCGGTGGCCGATCACACGCGCTACAACGGCCCAAAACATTTCCATAAGAGTTTCAAAAACGATACAATAAAGAAACACAAATTAGCCAAAACAGATGCAAATGAAAGCACTTCTTCACCAACTTGATAAAACCATGCAAAGCATTTATTAAAAGTGCTGCATAAACAACACGCAAATAAAAATAGCTGTATCAGTTAAATTCACAACGGAGAAACGGGGACACTTAAAAGTGATGCACACAGCTGGGACAGGAACGCTTGTTGATGTTTAGGGATTATAAAATTGGCCAACTGTTTATCTTTGCAGTGTTTTGTATTTGCAGCGCTCTGTGTATGCAGTGCTTTCGGAAAACGCTGCCAAATCAACTTATTATAAACTAATGACGAGAAAAGGATTTGGATAAGGATATCTTATTTTCTCGGTATTTTGAAATAGGCAGGTTGGTGAACATTTTTACAATCACAGGTTCTTGAAAGCAATCTTTCAATATCCCCCCCAAGTCTTTTTTGTTTTATATGAATTCCAAAAGGCATCTATGCGGGAGTCAACATTTATCTATGGAGTTGGTGTTGCACTGTATTTATCCCTGCTATAATACATTATTGTCATTCATTTAAACTGAATTACAAGTGGATTTTCATGTGTGGTATTTGTATCGGTGAATTGTAAACATGAAGGATTTATCTTCTTGTTGACCTACAAAAACATAAAAAAGTAGAAGCGGCAGCATTTTTATATACAGTACATTCGACATAAAAAACAAGTTGCTATAATGTTGCCAAAAGTCATGACCAGAACCATTATGCTGTTTGAATTATCTGTGAAAAATGCTTATTTGTATTTTTTTTTTAAAGAAGAAAAACAGATGCTGATTGAATTAATATTTCTGCTCAGGTGTCTGAGAGTCTGGTGGTGAACCACGGCGACTTCCTCCTCAGAGACTCTCAGTCCTGTCAGGGCGACTTCTTGCTCACGTGCCACTGGGAGCAGAAAACCCTTCACTTTGTCATCAGGAAGACGCTGGTTCAGTCCAGTGAGACGTACACCCGGGTGCAGTACAGCCTGGAGGACGAAGCGTTTGACTCTTTGCCGGCTCTTGTTCACTTCTACGTGGGCAGCAAGGCGGCTCTGACCGGGTGGAGCGAGGCACAGATTCAGCAGCCACTGAACAGGACTCTGCCTCTCAGCTACCTGCAGACCGCCTTCTGCACTGCTGTCAGCCCTCCCTCAAGCCACCGAGAGGGGAGGGTCTGTCCGAAAAGGTAACATTTCACTGACATACATCACTTTTTTTTCATATGGCCTCATATCCAAAATAAGCAATTCAGGAAAGAATTAAATGGGCCCTATTATGCTCAATACAGGTCTCATATTAGTATGTAGTGCCTCTACTGGGACATGTCTCCATGCTTTAATGTTCAAACAGCTCTTTATTTTTCTCATACTGCCTGTGCTGCAGCACCTCTTTTCACCCTCTGTCTGAAACCAGAGCCCAGTCTGCTCTGATTGCTAGCTCTGTTGTGATTGGTCAACTGCTAAGAGAAATCCCACCCCTTAGCCTATTACGTACAATATGTTGGAGCGTTACATAGTGATGTCATTACTGTATGTTACGGAAGTAAATCCAATTGATGCGTTTTCAAAAAGCTATATAACACACTACAGGAAAGGGAAACCCCAAAAATACCCTTTAATGTTTGTGTCTTGGTTAGTGTAGAAAAGTTTCAACATGTTGCGACAAAGCGTCATTAAAGCATAATAATACACAAACATAACTCCATTTGAATAATATTTTATTAGTCAGAGATAGTTAAAAAAAAATCTAAATGAACATGTTCCTGTATGGTGATAACCATCTATCATCTGTGTCTCTCTCTCTCTTTGTGTCTCCATGCAGTCCTTCCTCTCTCCACCACAGGGAGTCAGATGTACACAGGGAGCAGGACCACCGTCCTCTGCTGACAGCTGCAGAATTCTCCACTGTCTACAACAGTGAGTCTCATACCATACTAAACTCTTTTTTCATCTTTGTTGCCATGCTCACAGAAGAGACACAACCCATAACATAGTTAAATCATAAATGACCATATGACTGACAATTCCCCAGGGCCAACATCAAATCATAAAAGTGCCCTTGGTCAGTTTGACTTTTGCCCAGAGAAACTTCCGCCAAACTAATGAAACTCAACGAACAGATCAAATAACACCATGCAATCTTGTAATGTTTACTTGTGGCGTTAGCCTGTGTTATGGTAGCCACAGAACGTGTCCTGATCTGGCGGGGAGTAGGGGCAGGCCTCCAGTGTTTCCCACTCCAAAGTGCTTCACACAGTGAACATTCAACTTAAACTGTGTGTAATAATAACAGTGACTGCAGACATGCAGATGACTCCGACTGAAACATGAATTACAAATGTGTGTCATTGAGCAAGTCTCAATTCTATCATTAATGTATTTATAAAAGCTATTATGGTTAGGTTTTAGTAGTAGTAATTCTAGCCAAACTGTGGTGCTAACGTAGAAGCCAAGTGGCTGTGCTCAACTCTTGATTTGCTCGAGCAGTTGTGGGGGGTGGCCTTAATATCGGTTCATCATCCCCCTACAGCTAACCGATCTATAAAGTGTATTTTATGCCACTTTAATTAAATCCAATATAAAAATGTACAATGGATGTATTACAGTATTGATAAACCCTTGGATCGACGCTACTTCTTAGTCCTCAGAACTGAAGGCATACTGGACGTCACAGTGAGACACTAAGGCCTCTAAAATAAAAAGTGGTATTACATGACAGATTGCACCAAGCTCTGCTAAGCATGCTAATATTAGTAGATTTGTTTGATTATAGTTTTCAACATAGCGTCAGCTTTCTAACATATACACGATAGTGTGGGACATTTTTGCTGGCCTTATCTTACACATTGTACATTTAAGCTTCAATGGTGCCAACCAAATAACCAAAAGGTCCCAGGTTTGGCTGCCTGGGGACCTTTACTGCACCTTTGTTGTCCTACCCCTCCGTCTTCATGTCTCCCTACATGACTCTTAGCTCTCAAATAGGCAACATGCCACAAATGATCATTAAAAAGGACAACAGGATAATGTGAAATACTAGATGCGTGTGAGAAATAAACAGAAACTGATATCCACATAGATCCGTGGAACAATCACAGAACAACGTCATATCAAAGCTAAAAGTCATGATAAAATAAAAAGCAAGTAGTCCTTCCCCCAGTCTTATTGACAGACAATCGTAATATACAGCTATTTGTGAAATTAATTAAAAAAAGATTATACCAACAACATTTTCTAAAACCTGGATACACACACTAAAGCTAAAGTTAGGATAACAATGTAAGACATGCTCATAATACATCTTGATACAGTTCAGAATAGTTACCAAGTATAAATGTTTTTAAAAATGTACGACTGTGTATGTAGGTAGCAGTATATTCATTATTCACTTTTGACCTTGCTTCTAGAAAACAAACATTTCCATATAACTTTAACTGCAACAAGAAAAACTGTTAATACTAGCAACATAACTGCCAGTAGAAACGCTACCACATCGATCGAGTGGTACTGGATCTTGGACATCTTGTAAGACTCTGTCCTAAGATGGGCTGCTCCCTTGTTCCTCATCACAAACTCGATCCAGAACATGGCCTTGTCCAGTGGTTTCATGGGCTGGTCTCTGTGCAGGTTAGACAGCACCCTCATCTTCTCCCTGTAGGTTGGGTCATAGAGTACCTCCTTCAGCACCTCCAGGAAGTTGTCTTTGTTCACAGTTGCAATGTCCAGGACTTGGGCCACACCTCTTGCTTTCATCCTGAAGAAGTTGTCAGGCTGGTCAAACATGAGGGGCAGGCCCACAAGGGGTACACCGTGGTAGATGGCCTCCTGGATTCCATTGGTGCCTCCGTGGGCCACAAACAATTTGGTCTTGGGGTGACCCAGGAGGTCGTTTTGAGGCAGCCAGTCCAACAGTAAGGTGTTGTTGCCGAGGGTTGATGGTCTTTTGCCTTTGTGCCTCCAGATCACCTTCTGAGGAAGTTGGGCAAAAGCAGCAGCAATGTCCTCAGTAATGTCCTCAGGAAGTGCTGCTACCAGGGTTCCCAAAGTCATAACGATAACACCATGCTCACCAGAGCTCTGGACAAAGTCTTCTAATTCTTTAGATAGGGGCTTGGAGGGTTTGCACTGAAATCCTGACATGTAGACAATGTTTGGCATTGTGGGTCTTGGGAACTCAAAGGTAAAATCGTTCCTCATTAGCCAGATGTCTGCTGCCTGAAAAAGCTCCATGTAATGAACATCATTTCCAAAGTAACGCTGGACAAATGGTGTGTAGTTTGAATCTGTGATATGCCAGATTAGAAACCGTGTTAAGACATACATAAGTAAGTTCTTGACCCGTTGAGGAAAAGTCATCTTGTCAGTCATCTCTGTCCCTGATATTGGGACATATGACAATGGGGAAGGGGCAATTGCATCATGACCATCCCCCTGAACAGTCCACCTCACATTGAAGACAAGTGGAAGACCCAAACGGTGACCAAGAAACACCCCTCCACCGAGTCCAGGGTCTGTCAAAACCAAATCATACTTGGCATCATTCAGGCTCTGCATCAGTTGGGTATTCTCAAAAATTTCCCCTACCATCTCAACCTGATTTTTGTGCATCTGAGAAAACTGCTTCCCCATTTCATACTCCAGAGATATACGAGACCAAAGTGAAGCTCCTCTTCGCCGCATGTTTATCATTGTGGTTGTAAATGACCCAAAGATTTCCTTATTAAAACCAGCAGAGGAATCCATTGTGATGGACTCATAGTAAGGAGACTCTTGCTTGATGTACATGCTGTCTGATGACCTCAACACTGTGATTGTATGACCTCTAGAGTGAAGTTCCTCAACAAGAACTTTCATGTTGATCCAGTGGCTTCCATCCAAGGGGACCACCAACACTTTACCTCCATGGACAAAGGGTGAAGAGCAGAGCAGCACTGCAAGTGCCACCAAGGCCGGTCGGTACATCACTGAAAGAGATGTTGACAAGAGATACAAGAATCAAGGTTAGCAGTTTCCTGAGGTCAACCAAGTGCACCAACCTAACCAGGGCTGCCCCTGGCTAACTTGTGTCCCCACACAAAGGTGTTTCATGAGGCCCTCCTTATGTGTTGCGAGTGTCGACGGGGGGCCCACGCAAGATGAGGCCCCATGTAGTCTGCGTGATCTACGTGTAGGGAGGGGCGGCCCTGAACCTAACCAACAACTGAAAAAAGAGAATAAAAAAAAGAACACCATTTCAGCTACTTCATTAGCTTTAGAAAGGTTTGTGCCACCTATGAACATTTGTATATAGTGTAACAGCTCAAAAGTGAACATTGTTAAAGTTATAGGAGCCCAAATGTTGATTTACTATTTTGATTATTTAAATGTGCCTAACATATTGAATATTGGTTATGGATTGGAATAGGTTGTCAATTAATTGTGATCCGCACACGCTGTTAAACGAAACAGCTGATTGTCACTGCGATTGCCTCAGCTGGTACAAAAGAGTCCTGCTGACAATACTCTGCGTTCATTTTGGTTTGAAGATGCACTGCAGAGAAATTATGAGTTTAAGTTGTTTATTTTATGTGACGTAACTGTCTCCATTATCATCTGGTAAGACACTTTTATTTGTGTTAAAAGAAGAGAACAGTGAAGAAAAGACATGTAAAGGATAACATGGACATACATTTACCGAAACAAACAAACAATATCTATCTGTGTGATGTGTGAGCGTGTCGGCCAGGCGCAAAACCAAAGGACAGAAAGGAGCAAAAACTAAGTGGGAAAGATTGCTTTTTTATTAGTCAAAAAACCTTGCTTAATGCGCGCCGGTCCGTGGAAATGTTTGTTTTGAAGCCAAGAACTCAACTCATAACAGTATGCCAAACACTCGCCTTCGTTTCGCTACGGCTTCTGCTTCCGGGAACAGTGGTGTTGAATGACTGAAGGCAACGAACGATCGCACCTCCTCTAATTACGTATGTAACGCGTGACTGCTGTGGAGCGTTCAAAGACGGAAAAGCTGTTGGAAACATCTCAACTCGCGGAAAACAGTACAAAATGCAATGGAAATGAAAGCAAGACAATGCAAGTCCATAAACAATTAAGTACAATTCAAAAGGAATAAATGTGTTGTCTTGAACAAAAAGCAAAAAAAATTGCAAGCTTGGAAAGTGACATTGACTCTGTGTATATGGAAAGGCTCAAGCGACTGAAATCATCAAGGAGTGCAACATTGGGTGCATTGACAAGGGAAATAAATGAAATAAGACAATTAATGGAGCATTTCTGCAATGTGGAACTGGTTAAGTCAAAAATAGAATGTATACAACTACGCAAGGAAATGGAAGAGTTCAATGATTCTGTTCGAGCTTTAATGTCCATTGAGGAGGTGGAAATGTATCAAGATGAATGGTACAACCCCAAAGCAGCTGCTTTGGAAGAGTTTACTCAGGAGGTCTCAAACTGGATCGCTGATGATGAGCTCTAGCCCCCTTCCCCTCTTGCACCACAAGCACCTTTACACATATGGACTCATGTGTTATTCAGAGGTGGCTCTAGACTTTTTTGCTGCCCGTCATTTTGACGGATCGTAAACATTTTCGTCAAAATTCATTATTACCCGTCGGTCTACTCTGTACACACCTCTGACGGGCGGGGGGGGGGGGACGCACACTCCGGTGTTATGCCATGTTATGCACGTCCACTGCACCTCGCGGGAGCGCGCACAGCGTAAAGCAATAACTCACAGACATTTCAATGATTTGTACGACAAAGTTAGGTTTGGAAACGATATCATTTCCTTTTTGGCGGGCATGCATAATACGGGATACCACCGGAGCCTCGCTGCGGGGAAGCTTTGGTGCTGTTTCGAGTTTGTTCTAATCTGTCAAAAATGACGGAATGCTTTCAGATTTTTCCGTCATTGTTAAAATAAATCCGTCATAGACGGAAAATATTCGCCCACATTCGCCCACAAAGGGTCAGCACCGAAGATGGACACTATAGTGCAGTGGACTTTATATGAATTATAGTTATTAACAAACAAATGTTTTGTATTGGCTCTCCATTTTATGTTTATTAATAATTGTCATTCCATAATAATTAGGTGCTGGAGTTTAGGAGCCAAAATGTTGATTTACTATTTTGATTATTTAATAGTTTAATTATGCGTAAAATAATTCATAATGATGAGTTTAAGTTGTTTATTTTATGTGACTTAAATGTCTCCATCATCATCTGGTAAGACACTTTTATTTGTGTTAAAAGAAAAGAACAGTGAAGAAAATACAGGATAACCTGGAAATAAATGTACCGTATTTTTTTTGATAGTCATTGATAACTTCAGTTGATTTTAACGCCTGACCAATTTTAAGGGACACATTGAAACCAATTCCAGTCTTAGTAGCTCTACTGATGTTTCTGTGTTTGTACAATACTTTTTAGGCTATCGCCAAAGTAATACAGTGAGCTGTATTTATATATAGTAGGCTACTGTGCAGTATTGTAGTATATTTGAAAAATACATAGCGCAGAATTTCAATTGTACTGTAGTGTGAAAGCTTTTGAAACAGCTGTACGGATTTTTCAAAGAGACAATACAGGATTGAGCGAAGCTGTACATATCAATGCTATAAATTATTGTGTATTATTTTTTCAGTTAGATTTTAAATGCACTGGAAATTAAGAATAGAAAGTCAATTGTAATAATCACCCACTTGTAGTGATCAATTTGACACAGACAAATATGTTCACTATAAGAGGTTTCCACTGTTTATGTTCTACTCTTTTTATTTTCACATGATGTGCAATGTCTTTTAACATGCTGCTGTGCAGAAATACATTCCCAATTTGGGATCAATAAAGTGAATCTTATCTTGATCTTATTTTGTAAAGTTGATCCCTTGTTAGTTTTTTCAAGCAGAGAAGACAACTTTAAAAGGGAATAGTCTAACAAATTATAAGATTTGTATACTAAATGGGACAAAGATTACATTATAATTGGCTTCTTGTGTAAACTTTGTTGAGAAGGTATTCATTTAATAACGTTTTTATTGTGGTGGTTTTTTGCAATATATATTTCTATCTAACATTTTGATTCATTATGTTTGAATACTTTATATACATGGTCAAGTGTATACATGACTGTGTATAATGCATGGGCGTCGCAGCCATTATATGAGGGTGACAAGTCTCATATAATGTTTAGACCCCCCCGACTTTGACCATGTCGAATACTACTGATTTTAAATAAATAATGGGTGTTTTTTATCAAAGACGACTCTGAATTAATAATCAAATATGTTTCTTTACTAGTGGATGAAATTACAAAATGCACCAGAATACAGGAAATGACATCTACTCTGTTTTCTGGGGGAGTTTCCTACAAACGAGGAAGAAGCTAGGATGTAATTTATTTCAATATATATATATTTCCAAAGTGGTGGCGTGTGATGATTAATTTATTAAAGTCCTTGTAAGTAAGGAAAAGTACATATAAAATAACTAATCCTTTGTAAAGTTATATTTCACTTGCTGTGCAATACATTGGACCAAACCTGTAATATGTGTAAAATAGAAATTCAATAAAAAAAAATTGCCAGTTTTTATTTATAGCCTGAAATCTTGATTTTGAAAATATAAATTGATTTCAACAATTTACATTAAAACATTGGATCATTACTAAAAACTCATGAGGAATATTAAATCATTGCCCAGCCACAGATGATAGACAAACAAATATGAACGTTTTTATAAATATAGTCTTATATCATTTAATTTAATTAAAAAAATGCAGTAGTTTATAAAAATAATTTTTGTATTTTAAAAAAACCTGCAAGAATTATTTCAAATAATCTGTCGAACGAAAAAATCACGTAAACATAACTTCTTTGGCATAATTCAGCTTAGACTTCTACTAAACTCTGAAAAACAGACTTTCCAAATAAAAAATAAATAAATCAGGACAAAGAAATATTGTCGGACAAACATCCTACAGAACTTTAATCATTCCTTTTTGACTTTGTTTCTGGAAAAAAATATTTGCCACAAAACCTTAATTGCATAAATAAAAACTGCAAAAACTAGAAAAACGACTGCAAGCAAAAAGGCCACCACATCGATCGAGTGGTACTGGATCTTGGACATCTTGTAAGACTCTGTCCTAAGATGTGCTGCTCCCTTGTTCCTCATCACAAACTCGATCCAGAACATGGCCTTGTCCAGTGGTTTCATGGGCTGGTCTCTGTGCAGGTTAGACAGCACCCTCATCTTCTCCCTGTAGGTTGGGTCATAGAGTACCTCCTTCAGCACCTCCAGGAAGTTGTCTTTGTTCACAGTTGCAATGTCCAGGACTTGGGCCACACCTCTTGCTTTCATCCTGAAGAAGTTGTCAGACTGGTCAAACATGAGGGGCAGGCCCACAAGGGGTACACCGTGGTAGATGGCCTCCTGGATTCCATTGGTGCCTCCGTGGGCCACAAACAATTTGGTCTTGGGGTGACCCAGGAGGTCGTTTTGAGGCAGCCAGTCCAACAGTAAGGTGTTGTTGCCGAGGGTTGATGGTCTTTTGCCTTTGTGCCTCCAGATCACCTTCTGAGGAAGTTGGGCAAAAGCAGCAGCAATGTCCTCAGTAATGTCCTCAGGAAGTGCTGCTACCAGGGTTCCCAAAGTCATAACGATAACACCATGCTCACCAGAGCTCTGGACAAAGTCTTCTAATTCTTTAGATAGGGGCTTGGAGGGTTTGCACTGAAATCCTGACATGTAGACAATGTTTGGCATTGTGGGTCTTGGGAACTCAAAGGTAAAATCGTTCCTCATTAGCCAGATGTCTGCTGCCTGAAAAAGCTCCATGTAATGAACATCATTTCCAAAGTAACGCTGGACAAATGGTTTGTAGTTTGAATCTGTTACATACCAAGTTTGAAAACAAGTAAAGAAAAAGTATGTTAAGTTCTTAACCCGCTGGAGGAAATTCATCTTGTCAGTCAGCTCTGCCCCTGGTATTGGGACATATGAAATGGGGAAGGTGCAATTGCATGATGTGCCTCACCCTGAACAGTCCACCTCACATTGAGGACAAGTGGAAGACCCAAACGATGACCAATAAGCACCCCTGCACCGATCGCAGGGTCTGTCAGAACTAATTCATACTTGGCATCATTCAGGCTCTGCATCAGTTGGGTATTCTCAAAAATCTCCCCTACCATTGTAATCATTTGCTTGTTCATCTGATAGAACTGTTCCACCAGTTCATACTCCAGGGATAAACGCGCCCAAAGTGAAGCACCATCCCGACGCATGGTCAGCATTTTGGTTACAAATATCCCAAAGCCTTTCTCATCAAAGCCAGCAGCAGAATTGATTGTGATGGACTTGTAGTAAGGGGACTCTGTCTTGATGTACCAGCTGTCTGATGGCCGTATAACTGTGATGTCGTGACCTCTGGAGTGAAGCTCTTCGACGAGGACTTTCATGTTGATCCAATGGCTTCCATCCACAGGGACAACCAAGATTTTCCCTGAATTTACCCAGGGTGAAGAGCAGAGCAGCACTGCAAGTGCCGTCAAGATTGGTCGGTACATCTCTGAAAGAAAATCTGACAAGAGATGTGATAATGTTAGATCTTCCAGATTTCAAAAGGCTTTTCATTTCTGAATATCCAACTTATGCTTCAGCTTAACAAATAATTGAACATAAATCTGGTTTCTGAGCTAATTTGCGAACTATGGCTAGTGGTTTATAAGAGGACACGACTTACCATGTTACAGAGGCTCTGAACCTCATGATGAACTAAAACTGTATAAGATATTGGTTAGATAAAGATGTACAATATTTGTTACAAGGTTAAGGATCTGTAAGAGACTGCAAGCAGTGTCATCATCAAAACTGCTAAGCAAAGTAGGAGTTGTGAGTAAGCTTCC